AAAATAAAAATTTTCCTACACAAGATGTTTGATGAGCATTTAAATTAAAAAAAATCATTTAGGTATTGATTTAATTGGAATGTTCGTCAAACATCTTATGTAGGAATTTATGAGAGATTCAAATTAAAATACTCATTCATTACACCTAAAATCTCTCAACTTAACTACTATTTTCGTTTATGTGACTGAGTTCGAACTATAACATGTAATTTTCCTTTGGTCTTTTGCCATAATATAATTAATGAAAAAATTACTGAATGTTCAATTTAAGACTTTAATTTACATAATATTAATTTACTCTTTTTATTTATAACATTATCATTTTAATTACAAATATTATACTACGTTTTTACCTATTTTTTTTTTTTTATCTTAGTGGCTGATTTTATGTGATTCATAATTTGTTGTTTTTACTTTTTTGATTTTCAATAACAACTATAATTGGTAACATTATTTTTGCCTTTTTTTTTTCTTCTCTTCCTTCCTTAATACAATTACACTTCTAAAAATATTCTTTCTCTCTCTTTAATTACGTTTTTTTTTTTTACTTTTAGAATTATATTATGATAAAAAAATATATGATATAGAATGGTATAAACCTCTTGTTTTTCTTGATATTATTTAAGTGCAAAGTTGGTCTATATAGTGGCAAAGTTCTGTTAGGGGTTCAGCCGAATCCCCTTCGACAGAGGTTAAAATTAGTTTTTATGTATATATATAGTAGATGTCGAACCCCCATTGATTAGTTCATGTGTTTAGTTTTTCATATTTTGAACCCCTTATTAAAAATTCTACCTCCGTCACTATATATATAGATTTAGAACCTCGTAGACATAAGGTAAGAGTTTGCCTTAGAGCTCGTTTGGATTGACTTTAACTTTTAATTTATAAGCCAGAAATCGTAAGTTAAAATTTTTACTTATGTCTTTTGACTTATTTTATCATTTAGCTTAAAATTAAGTGCTTAAAAGTATTTTTAAAATTTATCTAAACACTTCAAAAGTGCTTAAAAAACTATTTTGACTTGAAAACACTTAAATCAGCCAAAACTAATACTCATGAATTATCACTTTATGCACCACAAGAATCAGGCAGGACACAATCAGCATCTTCATCAACCACACATGAACTGTTAAATTAAGGGTGTGTTTGGTATGAAGGAAAATGTTTTCCTAGAAAATGTTTTCCCGGAAAACAAGTTGATTTTTGATTTATTTTCTCATGTTTGGTTGGTGAGTAGAAAATAATTTTCGGAAAAGATTTTTAGTGTTTGATTTATGAATGAAAAATATTTTTGAGAAATATCTTTTATTTTTACTAGAGTACAAAATAATTTTTGAAATTGAAAATATTTTTTAAAAACAAACTTAAATTTTTTTTGGGGATGAGGGGGTTGGTAGGGGATGGGTGAGGGGGGGTGGTCGAGGGTAGGGGTAAAAAATTGAAATTTTGAAGTTGAAAATATTTTTTAAAAACAAACTTAAATTTTTTTTGGGGATGAGGGGGTTGGTAGGGGATGGGTGAGGGGGGGTGGTCGAGGGTAGGGGTAAAAAATTGAAATTTTGAAGTTGAAAATATTTTTTAAAAACAAACTTAAATTTTTTTTGGGGATGAGGGGGTTGGTAGGGGATGGGTGAGGGGGGGTGGTCGAGGGTAGGGGTAAAAAATTGAAATTTTGAAGTTGAAAATATTTTTTAAAAACAAACTTAAATTTTTTTTGGGGATGAGGGGGTTGGTAGGGGATGGGTGAGGGGGGGTGGTCGAGGGTAGGGGTAAAAAATTGAAATTTTGAAGTTGAAAATATTTTTTAAAAACAAACTTAAATTTTTTTTGGGGATGAGGGGGTTGGTAGGGGATGGGTGAGGGGGGGTGGTCGAGGGTAGGGGTAAAAAATTGAAATTTTGAAGTTGAAAATATTTTTTAAAAACAAACTTAAATTTTTTTTGGGGATGAGGGGGTTGGTAGGGGATGGGTGAGGGGGGGTGGTCGAGGGTAGGGGTAAAAAATTGAAATTTTGAAGTTGAAAATATTTTTTAAAAACAAACTTAAATTTTTTTTGGGGATGAGGGGGTTGGTAGGGGATGGGTGAGGGGGGGTGGTCGAGGGTAGGGGTAAAAAATTGAAATTTTGAAGTTGAAAATATTTTTTAAAAACAAACTTAAATTTTTTTTGGGGATGAGGGGGTTGGTAGGGGATGGGTGAGGGGGGGTGGTCGAGGGTAGGGGTAAAAAATTGAAATTAGAAATATCTTGTAAAAATAATTTTAATATTTTTTGGGAGGGGTGGGGTAGGGGTGAGGGTGGGGTAAAAAAATTGAATTTAAAAACAAGCTTTAAATTTTTTGGTTTTTTGGGGGGAGGGGGGTGGTTGGGGGGCTGGTTTAAGGGTAGGGACAAAATAAATTGATTTTCAACAAAAGGTAATTGTAATTTGAAGTTGGAAGAGAGTTTTGGAAAATGTTTTCCTTAAGTTTTGAAGGGAAGTCATTTTCCTTAAATTTGAGGAAAATGAATTGATTTGGAAACCATTTTCCAACATTTAACCCTACCAAACATGAGAAAATTGGAAAACATTTTCTGGAAAATTAATTCATACCAAACACACCCTAAATTTCTTCCTAATTCATCGTCAAAAATTAATTCAAAGAAAGGAGGATTGTCAAAATCTTATAAAGAACTCAATAATACATTCACAGATGTAGAACATTCCATTCATGTGGAATAATATGCAACTATTATGAAAAATACCATAATATTGCTACTGAATTTGAATTAAAATTAGATAGTGAATCGTCATAAACACTCTGTTATAAAAAGTCATTGTATTAAAAGCGATTTCGACCCCATTATAATGCAAATCACTGAGGTTGGTCACTTTCGTATCACAACATTTTTAAACACATGCATTTGTGACTGAAAGTACTTGGCAATAATGCCCCACAAATCCAAATCCAAATTAATAGGAAATAGTTTCTTGGCAAAAAAAGAGAGGAGGAAAAACATGTACTTAAATATTTCGATTTAAATAAACATGTAGTGAAATGAGACAATAACGAATATCCCTAAAGTGAAAAGCTCTTAAACTATAAGATAACAACAAATAAAATTCATGTATTTTTTTCTTCAAAATTCACTCCTTTATCCCCTTTATAGATGCAAAGCTATAAAGTTATTCTTCTAAAGATTACTTCATTCAATATTTATTTTCATAGACAAGAAAATTAAATGATTTAGAACAATTGAGTTTAAAATAATAAATAAAACCGTGATAAAAAGAAAAAAAGAACAAACAAATGATATTTAATATATAGCCTATGGGGTAGGTATATGTACTAATTAACTAGAGATAAAAACTTGACCTATTTTTTTCACTCATTTGAATAATTCAAACTAAAATCTAAAAAAAAGAAGAATAAAACCTTATAATTATGATAATTTGTAGACTCTATATTATATACAATAATATATCATTTTGAAGTTTTTTTAATACAAAAAAATATAATTTTCTTTTCCTTTATAGTGACTTAAGAATGCATTAAATCTCTTTTCTATAATATCAAATTTTTATTTCACCATCTCAAGTTCTAATTAATTTTAATTCTTCACAAAAATCTTCTTATATCCACTAAAAAAATATTACTATGTGTATTACAAAGTTACAATTAAAATTTAAAAATTAATTAATTCCTTACACAATGACATTAGGAAATAATAAATTTTATTTTCAAATTTATAAGCTTTTGATTAAATGAAAATAGAACTTTGTCTTATATTTTAAAACTTTGAAGTAAATTATTTGAAACTTATTATATAGTAATGAGATTTTTGAGAACAAGGACAAATGTATTGTATTGCATCAAATGGTTAACCTTATATTAACTTATAACAATAATTGCCAAGCTATATAATAAATACTCACTTTCCATACAAAGATATAAACCGTATACATACTAATAACTAGTTATATAATAAAAAAAATATTTTTTTGGATGCTTTCTACTAGAGAAGATGTTTAGTAGTTGAATCAACATGTAAATGAGATAAGTTATATGGGGAGCAATGGCGGGCTCAGGATTTTCATTCAGGGGATTCGAAAAATAAAAGTATAAATGTGTAAATAAGACAACAATTTTTTTTTTCAAGGAATGGGACCCTTGAATTCTTTTGGATTTAAAACCACACTTTTAGCATGTTTTATAAAAAAAAAAAAAAAACAAAAAAAAAAAGTAAAAAACAGAACTGGAACTAAAAAAAAAAAACTGAAACTAAAAAAGTAAAACGCTAGCCAAGGGATTCAAACCCTCGACATCACGCTTAGTTTTGGATGAACTTGCTGCTAGGCTATCTCATTTTCTTTGTCATTGAGAGAGTTCAAAATATATATATTCACATAAATACAGAAATATTATCTTATATATACAGTGTAATTTTTTACCGACTCGAACCCCTTGGAACACATGTGGGTCCGCCCCTGATGGGGAGGGTTGAAGTTTATCACCCTCCCATGTTGATTCAATTACTAAAGCATCTTCTGTAGTTGAACTTCCTGGTTGATTCAATTACTAAAGCATCTTTTGGATGCCTTAGTCATAAAAACTTTTATTTGTTTAATATAGATTTTTAGATTTAGATGATTATTTTTCATTTTTAAAATTTAATATAATTTTATGATTGCACTTGTGCAACTAAATAATACATTTGTAATTACACTATAACAAATAAACTAGGTTGTATAATTACTAGACTGATAATTACTACCTAGTAATAATTCTATTTTGATTTCGTTAGGGTTGATACTACGCCAATTATTTTTATAAAATTTTAGTGCTTCATTTTAGTATTCGATTTTGGTAGAGGTTGTAGTTTATATAATTAAGCTACAACTAATCTTCAATTTAATCAAGTAATTAAACCAATACATTTATAATCATAATTAAATCAATAAAATATTTCATAATTAAAAAATACAAAGATTTAATTAAATCATGAAGTATCATCAAATTTACCATAGACTTTCTTTAAACCAAAAGAACATAATAACAGCCTTGCTTGTTAGTCTGGCTTTAGGAGCAACACTTCAGCTCCTTCCCAAGCATCTATTAATCTGTTGGGAATACTTCAGAGTTTAATGTGCTTGTGAAATGAAGACTCCACCGCTGCTAACTGCCCGTTGGTCATTGGGGCTCGTGTAGAATGAGGTTGCACTCGAGTCTCTGAGTCGTAATCATATTCAGTGACATTTTCCGATTCTGTTTCAATTCCTACTGAATTCAGTGAAAAGGAAACTAACACAAAATTTACGTTTCAGTTTCTGCATATTGCAGTTCAAGGAGTATTCTGGTCTTCAACGTCAATTTGTAGTAAGAAGGTACTTTAGACACATTGCTTAACAACTTCAAATTAGGTCTGAGCTTTTGCATTACGTAATTTGCTAGAGAAGTTTGCAGTCAACTGTACTAAAGATGCTTTGCAATAGCACACACTTCACTGAAGCTAACCGAATATACTCGTGCATGTAGCCACCTAGTTGAAAAACTGTAATGTACTACAGTACTGTTATAAACTCTGTTTTGTTTAGTTGGTTTCCAAGATACTATATTAGAAGTACTCAAATATCTAGGGTTTTGACAAAAGGAATAGTTTCTATAAAAGATCAGAAACACAACACATTCTACAAGGCTTGTAGATTCACTCCATTCTTGTTAATCTTCTGTTAAAGTTGTCACTTCAATGGTTGAGTACTTAAACAAGAATTTTCAATTTGTACTCATTTTTCGTTTGTCTGCACTTACAAGAAAAAATAACTGCACAGAAACTAGGCTACCCTTCTCCAAGTGAACTTTCTATAAGAAAATCAGACTGGATGAGTATATGCAACACCCCAACTTGGAGATTGGGAAATGCCCATCCCTATTTTGTCTATGAGGGAAGATTAACAGCACATAGAAACATCTGAGTTACTAGCTTTCAGACAAAATGACTTCAATAGCATGGCATACACACTATTTTCTTCTGGAAAGACATGCATCAAAAAATACAAGGACAAAAAATATGAGGCATGTTAACCAACTTAAGTTCCTGGTGCAAGCCTAAAGAAAATGTTATGTTACCCTTAAATAAACAAACAAGAATAGGATAACATGGTATAAAACAAAAATACTAAGAAGTTAAGACTTACCCTATGGCCTTCTTCAATATAAGACTCGTCATCATCAAGTATGAGACAAGATTCCTATTACCTTCTGCAGGACATGTAATACTCGTATTAGAGATCATGTCCTATAAAATAGATCAGAGATCATGTCATAGTGTTTTCTCTCCACACACCTCAAAAACTCCACTTGAACCTCAACTTAACATCAAATTTTAAAATTCAAGGTTCTATATAGTAATTCCAGGACAACAAAGTTCTATCTAGCAATTCCAGAACAACATCAGTTTCTAAAGCAAACAACAAATATAGAGAAATATGTTAATTTGTCCACTCCTAGTAAATTCAACATTTATTAGAAAAGATCATTGAAATTGAATAGAACTATACGTGAAACAAAGTGCATGTGAGCACTGAAGAGTCAAATATTTAAAGTCACACCCGTACTAGTTAAATACTCTTCTAGCAGGAAAGACTTGGAAATTCCAAAGAGATGCACCAAATTAAGCACCACCATTTTAAGGCTCTTCCTCTCAATGTATTTGAGGCTACTTTGCTTATAAATATCGATCAACTCAAAGGCAGACAATTAATTTTACTTCACTTTGCTTCTTTAATTTACGTGCATTAAATTTTTGAACTTCGAGAAACACAGCATTTTAAAACAGAAATAATCCAAAGGATGAAACATGACAACTTAGCTACAAAAAATTGTATGTTGCTTAAAGGCAAAATCCCTTACCTCAAAAAACAATGCATTGCATATCTTTTTCTGAATTGCTTCGCAATTCTCTTTGGATTAGTCACCAACATGTTAAATATCAACTGAAGATCGTAGTGCTGCCCATGAACTCCTATCATCTTGGTCTAATGGATCTTCACTAGATACAGTAGCAAAATCATTGAACTCCTTATAAAATTCACAGAGGCTCTGAGTATCAAATACATGTGTTCCATCATTTGGTTGTTTCTTAAAATTGAGATCATATTGGCTTTCTTAGTCAAGAACTCAGATGCTGCTACATCCATGTCAATTTTAATCTACATCAATTTTTCAATGAGAAAGCCATATCTTTCGAAAATAAAATAGTGTAATAAACTGCAAGGCCAAAATGAAAGTGACCTTGCCAGTGTAACTAAATCTTCCATGTTATCCTGGACATTTGGAGTGAATCCACCTTCATCACCAACCTTGCATGCATCTTGCCCATACTTCACTTTGATAATTCCGTAAGTGTAGACTGTTAAACTATAAAGGGTGGGCAGTCAGAAGAATAGCTGATTTGAGATAGTGAAAAAATTGAAAAATTAACACTTTTTTTTGTAGTGAAAGTGAAAAAATTAATACACTAACCTGGAGCAGCGTAACTACAAGACCCTGCATTAATGACAGACATGGACTTGTTTCCTCGGCATTGACATCAACCGCCTTTGCAGCAACAAAATCAGTAACTCGAGCTCCAAAATCACCCCTCTCTGAACAAAACTTCTATTTCGTGTGTCATAAACCTTTCAATGAGAATCAAAAACTCAACCTACCAAAACAGTTAAGACATAACATTAACTATATAAACCGTTGGGAAAAAATTGAAACAAATTTTAAAGATGCTGAAATTTATTTTAACAACTATTGTTAGATGTTACCTCTCGTTGAAAATGAATACTTGGTAGTGGAATCTGTGCTTGTTCACTTTTCATGCGGAAAGACACGAATACCTTGTTTTGATACTAAAACCAAGCCACATGGTAAAAAAATCCCAAATGAAAGCACAAGTACTCTTCTGTTTTTCACAATTAACCAAGAATTTAACAATAATATCCATATGTCCATGACTTCTACTTAACAATAGATAACCGATATTCAAGGTGAATATTAAGGAAATGTAGTTTCTAATGTTACCCATCCTCTCTACCTAGACAAAAAACAGAACCACACACATCAAGTGCTTCTCCTACCTGCTCTATGAATTCAATTTTTCTTTCTTCTTGAACTTCCATTGCAATTCTTCTTTATACACCCCATGTGAGTATAAATTTTGTGAAGCATATATGATCAAATACCCCCAACTTCTAAATTAAATACTACTAATAGTTTCCTCATTGGTTTGAACCTGATTTTATACAATCACAAACCTAAATAGCTTCAGAATAACTTTTATCAGCAAGAAAAATTTGGTTCATCAAATGAGAATCTCAGTAACGGGAGGTGTGAAAACATTCATGTGGTTTCAAATCAAATCCAAACCAAGCTTAATTGTCATCATCACAATAATGGTACAAATTATTCTATCATCTCCAAAAGCTCTAAAATTGCGATGAAAGAGAAAGTCAAACCCCTCATTTCATAAGATCAGAGGTTCTGCAGTAAAGCACATAGTCCTTAAAGAAGTAAAGCGCAGATCAATGTTACTAGCATCTCTAAAAATATCACTTATCATTGCTGAACTATAAATACAGCCTCACTGCTCTTGTGTTGTTCTTTGTTTAAACAAATAAAATAAAATAGTTTACATCTTACAATTATAAGTATATCAATGATCTAAATCCACTGATTTAGTAGGCGTTTGGCCATGCGATACCATATCACGATATGGTATCGTGAGATGGAATCAGTGTTTGGACATGCAATTTTACGTTGATTCCATCTCATGATTCCATATCATGATATGTGATTCCATATTCTCCAAAAACCATGATATGGAATTATATGGTAATTCCATATCATGATTTGAGATATTTTTAATACAAAAATTGATCCACAAGTTTATATTTTGTTAAAACAACCCCACATTTATATCTACTAACCATTTATTTCATATGTAAATAAAATTTATAATCACATCATTACTTTTTAAAATTTATTATTCTCACTGACATAAAATTTATTATTCTCACCAACATATAGTCACTTTAACTCACACCAACCAATTGTTAAAGTGATTAAATATTTATGGTCTATGAGCATGAAAATATAGTTGCGGATGGTATTGACCAACAAATGGCTCAAAGTAACAATGTTGGTTCGTCTTCTCGGTCACATGATC